TTTATAATTTTTATTCTTAAATGATTGCATGAGTTCTTTTAAGTTCTAAAACTCAGTGAAAAATCCAAAAATGAGAATGTTATTGCCAATTAATTGATAGCATTTAACACATCTGTCTCTCGCAGCCACCCCTCTGACAGTGCCCATGATCCCACCGCTTCCTCACTACCTCCTTTGGGTTATTCAACCCTCTATTCACGGAAAACAGAAACTGATCCTGTCTCCCATTCAGTCCCTCCCAGGTGCTTACTGACTTTGTCTTTTCAAACAGACTGCACAAGTGCCAAACTCTATTCGAAAACGCTCACAGAAATGTCAGAGACTCATAAGAAGACTACAAAAATCCAACAGGCTTTAAAATTGAGCTTAAAGGACCAAAAGTCCAACATTTAAGAACAGCTACTTAATGATGTCCCCAAGGAATCCTGAAAAATACACTTTGGAATCGGTGGGCAGGGCGTGGCACTTACCAGATCCCACTGGAAAACATTCAGATGCGTCAGCAGACAGACGGGGTACTATTTATATGGTTTCTTCCCCCTCCCCTGTCTATAAGTTAGGATAACCAATCCTGACTGGGGGTGGGGTATAGGAGGCCCAACACACCCAGGGACAAGGGAACAATCAGATCTAAACTAGAAGGTGAGGAGCGTGTAGAATGCCTGGTGGGGGTTGATCAAGGTCAATGTAGCCAAGAGGAATTACTGAGAGCCTAATGAAGGTCCAACATGATAGTGGGACAGAAGGAAAGTAAAAAGAATTAGAGGAAAGAACTAGAAGGCAAATGACATTTATAGAGGTATAAGCATAGGCATGTACATATGTAAATATATTAATATATGATAGGGATATAGGTCTATGTATATAATATATTCAAATGTTAGGTATTAAGGTGGCAGAGAGGCACTGGGTTTCTACTCAACTACTCCCTGAACGCAAGAACGCTTTGTCCTAATAAGCTGGCATTCTGTGCTGCTCACCTTTCCAACACTTCCTGAAGTGAAAATAGGTGCATAAGCAAATGTGAAGAAAGCTGATGGTGCCTGGCTATAAAAGATAATAGTTTGGGGTCTTAAAGGCTTGGATTTAAATAAGCGGCCATCTAGCCTGGAAGCAACAAAGCGCACATGGAAGGACAACAGCCTGTGTGATCACGAGGTGGCAATGGGATCAGGTATCAGACATCAGAAGACCTCCCAAAAATATACTGATGCAAAAAAGTGGGGGTTGGAGTGGAGACCCAAAGCCCTTCTGTAGACAATTGGATATTCCCTCACAGAAGAGTCACAAGGAAGGAACCTTCAGCCAGGGTGCAGCATAGCACTAACAAAAAACACAACATTCCTCTATTCTTTAATGCGTCCTCCTCTCCACTGTCATGACCCCAGTTCTACCTTACAGATCCGGCTAAACTGGAGCAAATGTACTGGTACAGATAACAGCTCTCAACACATGGAATCTAGGACAGTAAGCCCCCAGGAACAGTAATGGGAGTAGTGATACCATGAGGGTGGGGGGAGGAAGGGCAGAAATGGGGAACTTACTGCAATGATCAATACATTTCCCAACACTCCCCTCCCCTGGGGGGTGAAGAGCAACAGAAACGTGAGTGAAGGGAGACAGCAGACGGTATAAGAAAATAACTTACAATTTATCAGGGGTCCATGAGGGAGTGAGGGAGGGAAAAAAGAGGAGCAGATACCAAGGGCTCAAGTAGAAATGTTTTGAAAATAATGATGGCAACATATGTACAAATGAATTGTAAAAGCTCCCAAATAAAATTATTTATTAAAATTTAAAAAACCCAGCTATTTAGTCTCTAAATTGTATAAAAATGGCTGACGTGGCAAATGTTTTTAAATATATATTTTACCACACACAGAAATATCTTACAGAAAGCGAAAGCTTAACAAAGGAGGTGCAATGGATACAAAATTCAGATTAAAAAAAGGAAAAATGATAAACCATTTGAAAAAGATTGGAGGGACACCCCCCCACCCCCCGAAAGTATTACTTTGAGACAACCTTCTAACTCTAAACTGAAGCTACTGCTGGTGTACAGGAGCCTCTAAAATAGTTGCACCCAGGAAGAAATGTGCTCCTTATAACAATCAACAATCAGACCAAAAGAGCAGCATTTGCGCAAAACCAAAAACCGAGAAGACAAGAAGAAGTCTGTTTCTTGTACATTCTTCCTAACCTTGTCTCACTTTCAACTCCATCCCTCAAGCTCTAGAATGCGGCCTCAAGAGTGAGCATAGACCTCCAGGGATGCACACACCCTTTGGACAGCCGTCATTGTAGATCAGACGGCGGCACTCGCTAGGACAGTTCTGAAGGCAGGGAGGTATTGGTGGGAAAAGACAACGGGAAATGGGGACAGTAGGAAGTGGGAGGAGTGCGGTTGCCTGGCGGAACTGTAATCCAAGTTGCAGCACAAAGTGTATGAATTGTTGGATGGGAAACCCAGTTTGCTCCAAGAACTTTCTCCTAAATCACAATAGAAATGTAAAACAAAACAAAAGAAATGTAAAGCAAAAGAGAAGCAAGAGCACGATCTATTATGAATGCATATATAGGAATCTTAATTTTTACTATCACTAAAAAAGCAGGAAACGCTTATAACCCTCTACTGACTAGGTCCGAGAGGTGGTGATTGGTAGTGAGAATTCGGTACTTATTATAAAAAGGAATCTAATTTTTATCTTAGTGCAGGTAAGTCATTTAATTTCTCTGATCAAGTTTACTCATCTGTAAAATCGGCATAACAGCCAACCTGCCCACTTCTCAAAATTACTGTAAGGCAGCGATTCTCAACCCCTTTGGGGGTTGAAAGACCCCTTTGCAGGGGTCGCCCGATTCATAACAGTAACAAAATTAGTTATTAAGTAGCAACGAAAAAATTTTGTTGGGTGGGTCACCACAACGATTAACTGTGAAAGGGTTTTGGCATTAGGAAGGTTGAGAACCACTGCTCTAAGGATCCAAGATGGCAATGGGTGAGAAAGGTGAGGTGTATCCAGGACTCCTGCTTGTATTACCCATAGAGAGATCAAAGAAGCAAAGGGCACCAGTCCTTTTCTTTAATTGCCTCAGTTTACTTCCACCCACATTCACCGAATGGCTCATCTGAACCTAGCCCTGTTTATACCGGATGCTTGAAGAGCTCTTCGCTGTAGGGAAGATCCCATTTCTTTAGTGCTAAAGCGTAAGGTTACGCTTTAAAAACATCATCCTTTAAAAACAACACTCTGAAAATTAGGTCAAATTAGCATGAACTCGATCAGCTCCTGATGTTAGCCAACTCTTGACAGTGTTATTCGGGAGATTCTATGTCTGGGCAGAGCACATGGTGCTCCCTTTAGCTCAGTGAAGGCGCGCTGTAACTACCGGGCCACCAATGTTCTTTAACCGAAGGGTAAGGGCCTTTAACGGCGCCGGGCACATTATACTCACGGGCTTTACTAGGATGGTTACTTTTAAAGTTTTCAGTGCTCCAGTGAAGGCTGATGGCAGTTTTCTAGCTCAGTGCCCCGTCTACTTACTGATGGTCGCTGGCTCTTCACCCTGAACCATTACCTCTGGCCCTTTGCTCTCCTGAGACGAGGAGATGGGCCGGGCGTGCAATATGGCGGCGTCAGGACCTAGATTGCCGTCTAGTGCGTGGCCGTGTAAGTTGCGACGGGGCAGTGCCGAGTGAGGCAGGTCCAGGTGAGTCAAGCCCAGAACCGTATTACACTGCAGGTTGCGCTCCCTGCGGTTTGTGTGTCGCAAAGAGCTCCTGGTGGTCTCTGGGCCCCGTTTCCTCTTTTGTAAGAAAAGAGACAGTCATGATCCTCCTGGCGCATTCTCGCTCCCCGGGTAGCTGTGAAGACCGGGAGATCAATGGGGGAAGAACGAACGCTGCGCTAGGCCAAGGCTGTAGCGTCCAAAATGGCGAGGGCTTGGCAGGTGTCACGTGACCGCCGCTGCCGGGGCTCTGTGGGCCTCCGAGCGCTTGCCTAGAACGGCTCCTCTCTATGGTGAGCGGCTCTCAAATTCCCGCCCAGAGGAAGTGGTTCGATCGCGTGGATTGCTACTGCTTCCGGGGCGCGGCGCGGCGTGCTGCTCCTGCTGTTGCCTCAGTTCCCTGCGGCCCTGTAGCTCGATGCTTCCCGGTGCGATGAGCTTCCTCAGAAGTTTCCTTCCCCCCGGCCCGGCTGAGGGACTGCGGCAGCAGCTGCCCGATACCGAGGCTGTGCTGGACGGAAAGGGCCTCGGCACTGGCACCCTGTACATTGCGGAGAGGTAGGGTTTGCTCCCCGGCGCGCTCCCTCCTTCCTCTCCCCGGCGGCGCCGAGGAGCCGAGAGGGAGGCGGGGTTCGCCCCGCCCCGGGGTGTCCCTGTTGAGAGCGGGACGCGGTCTTTCCCTTGTCTCCTGTTCAGAGCCGGCCTCTTTCGGAGAGAATGGCTCTAACAGATTTGCTCTCCGGCGGCCTGTAAAGCGGAGGTCTGGCACGTGCGGTGGTCCTTACTCGCGGTATCGTTCCAAAGGGTTAGAGTTTCCAGGCCTGAGTTGTTGGCATCAATAAGTGCCATTTTCGTTGAACAAGTGCGGTGCGCAGGGCTTTGCCCAGGACAGGATACATAGGCGCCGAGCAGATTTGGAATCTGGCTAAGAGTAGGTGGGGGTGGGGAGCGCACCCCTCCAACCCCAGGCTAGACCCCTCATCAAAGGGAGCTGACTCACATTTCGGGGCCCTACAAAGGATGTCTCCTTTCATTGTCCCGCGGGGACACTTGGTACTTTCACAGTCAGGTGGGAAGGTCTTAGATAATTGAACGTTTGTGTATTTTGAGCTTTGTTTGGTTTTAAGGTAAATGTTCCCAAACAGCGTCAGATTCGACGCTTGCTTGCTTGACGGCCAAGCGCTTATTTGCTGCCTGAGGTTTAAGTGTGAACAGTGAAGTGAGTTCGCAGTGTTAGGAATATAATGAGGCAGTTCATGCGTGTGGTAGTTACGGGAGTGGTCCAGCTAGTGCTGGGGAACAGGGAAGTTCACTAGAGAAAAACCACGGTAGAGAGCGCGCAAGTCTCTGTTTGGGCAAGATGCTGGGTCCTTACGGGGTCTGTGAACCCTTGAAGTGTTGAGTTGGCATGATTTTTCTGGTCTCTGGCATTCGATTCTAAAGCAGGTCGGTGACTTCGAAGGACTTACCGTAGTACTTCACTGTCAGGGAGGATGAGCTGGAGGAAGTAGGATGGGTGGTGGTATGCGGGGAGAGGTGGGGAAATGTGAGCCAACCTGTGAAAGCGCAGGGCACATTTAGGGCTAATCTGTGCGGCTTTGTTTGCAACCTGCACACGCTTGGGGAACGCAGCCTTTTCCCAAGTCGGTACAGGACTCTGTACACTTACATTTTTATTTAAAGAACCTCGTGAATTTGTTTTTGCTTAAACAGGTCCAGTGCCGTCTTTTCCATCCTTTTTAAAGGAGCTGACAATCTTTTTTTTTTTTTAATCATAGGAAACTTTAATGAACTGTATTGACTGAACTATGCCATGTATCATATTTTGTATTATTAAAGCTATTGTTATATATTATTATTATTATTATTATTTGGAGCTGACAATCCTAGTTAGGTCTTAGTAAGGCCACCAGAGCAGAACCCTGGTGGTATAGTGGATACTTATCGGGTTGCCTACAGCAAGGTCAGTGATTCAAAACCACCCGCAGCCCTTTGGCGGGGAAACATGGGGTTTTCTACTCCCATGAAGAGTTATCATCTCAGCAACTGACAGGAGCAGTTCTACCCTGCCTCAGACAGTGGGTACGAGTTTACATGGACTCAATGGCAATGAGAGAGAATGTCCATCTAACTCAGTGGTTCCCCACCTTCCTCATGCTGCGACCCTTTCATACAGCTCCTCATGTTGTGGCGACCCCCCAACCATAAAATTATTTTTGTTGCTACCTCATTACTGCCATTTTGCTACTGTTATGAATCGGGCAACCCCTGTGAAAGGGTCATTTGGCACCCCCCCCCCACGGGGTCACGACCCATAGGTTGAGAACAACTGATTTTACTGGTTTTCTATATTTCAAGTCTTCATAAGCCACCTTATCAGTGAAGTATTTGCCTAACCATCCTGTATAAAAATTAGCTCCTTATTCCCACCTCTAAGAGCCCCTTATCTACTTTACCATATTTTTTCTCCATAATGCTGATTATTAGATATATATATATATATACACATATCCTTCACTGCCATCTTGAGTTTTTTATCATTCTGAAAAGTGGATTATTCTCTGAATTCACTTCCAAACTAGCTCAGAAATGAACATTTCCTTCAGAGTTGGTGGGAATTTTTCGGAAAATCCACTTCCAAAGTGGCTCAGTAAAGAATTTTCGTAAAATCAGTCTTAATTATAGCAATTTGCTGAAACTATGTTTCCTATGTGATTAAAAAAAAAAAATCTAACCTACCCCTGTCCAAATAGGCATGTCATGAAAAAATAATTTATAAATTATCAAGGGTTCAGGAGGGAGGGAAGGGAAAAAATACTGAGGAGCTGATACCAAGGGCTCAAGTAGAAAGAAAATGTTTCGAGAATGATGATGGCAACAAATGTACAAATGTGCTTGACACAAGGGGTGTATGTATGCATTGTGGTAAGAGTTGTATGAGCCCCCCAAAAAATGGTTTAAAGACACAAAACAAAACAAATAGGCATGTCAAACTATAGCATAACCATGATCACGAAGGTGGTTTTCCCGGGGGAAAGCTTATCCATTGCACTCCGATGTGCTGACCCCTGTGATTTCTCCAAATGTGGGAAACTCGACTCCATAATTTGTGGTAGTGGGGGACTGCGTTCACGCTCTCCCCTGGGCGGAAAAAGCAAAAAACTATAGCATAGCATGACCAGAACACAATTTCCAACTTCCTCTTTAAAACATGATCTTCCTTAAGTGTTTGCTGTCTCTCTTCTAGTTGTTCAGACAGTAAATCTGGAGTCACTTTTTACACCCAAGTTGTTGAAAGCCACAGAAAAATCCCCTTGTCTCTGTCATGAAGTTTGATTGCTTGAGTTTGATTGCTCTTACTTTCATTACTGGAGTGGTGAACAAGGTAAATATACCTTCATAAGACCAGGGCTTCCTCCCACCCCGGGAGCAGGTAGTGGGGGATCTGCATCCAGAAGTCAGGGTACTCATGAATTAATTTATGGCAACCAATAGTCAGTACAGCATTTGTTTTTATTACAAATGTAACCTTCAACCCGCAGTCATATTAGCAGTTTCTGTGACTTTGTCAATGGGAGAAACCACAGTTTTGTTCATAGTCAATTAAAGTTGTGCAGACCTCCAAATACTGTTTACATTGGTAGTACTTTGAAAGTATGGATTATTATTAGACCTGATACCAGATCTTGTTGTTCAATGTAGCAGTAAAGAAGCCCTTTCAAGGCAGTGACGCCTTTGTTCTTATAGCAGTATTTGATTAAGCTGTCTCCATACCATTGGTTTCATTTGTTTCAAACACTTTGAGAGCATTGTTCTGAGGGATCCACAGGCTATCAGACTGCCAAAGAGTGTATTTGTTTTGTTGCGGTAATAAACGACTACAAACTACAAACATACTGTAGCTCAGTGGTTCTCAACCTTCCTGATGCCTTGACCCTTTCATACAGTTCCTCATGTTGTGGTGACCCCCCAACCATAAAGTGATTTTACGTTGCTGCTTCATAACTGTCATTTTGCTACTGTTATGTATCAGGCGACCCCTGTGAAAGGGTCGTTTGATCCCCGCCCCCCCAAAGGGGTCGCGACCCACAGACTGAGAACCGCTGGCATAGCTGTATCTTCCAGTGGGAGCCCCACATGCTTAAAGTCAAGTTATGTGGAAGTCCAGTGGCTAGAAGACCCCCTCTAAGTGTCTAAGGTTTCAGAATTCCGTTTCTTGCAGCTATAGGACTGAGGTTCCTATATGTAGTCCCTGTCATCTGTCCTTCATATCTCAGACTCCTCTTCTGAATCTCTGTTGTTATAGCCAGAGTGGTTCTTTGATTTTAAGGATTCATGTGATTACACTGGGCTCACCTAGTGAAGCTAGGATAAGCTCCCTATTTTAATGTCAAGTAATTTCATCTGCAAAGTTCTTGCCATAAACTGTGCAATACATGTCATGACATCAGGGGAGAAAGTCACAGAAGTCAAAATTTTACCAACTACGTAGTCCAGGGCACAAAAAATCAAGACCCCCTGGTTATAGGGGAATTAAGACAGTAAGCAAAGTTTAAGCAGTTGGCTAGCCACTGTTAGAAATAACAAGAAGAAAGGGGGTCTGAGGTGACAGATTATAAAATCGAGTTGAATATATGTGAAGTACTTAGTTATATGTGTGTGTGTCTTGGGAAAATAGTATCAGATACACAGAGTGGAAATCCTTAGTGTAATGCAAGCATGTATTCATGGTAATACAAACTCAGAAGAGAAAAAAAACTCCAAGGAGAGACCCTTAGGGGACAACTAACTACATTAAGAGGCGGGTCATAAAAGAAGAGATTTGAGGAAAGACAAGGGAAGGAGCAGTATAATAAGACTTGAAAAGCATCTAGTGGGTATTGACAAGGTCTCTGGTGACCTTGGGAAAATCAGTTTCTTTTAAATGGTGAAGAGCAGAGCACAGATAGATATATTCCTAGTCCACACACAATCCCGATTTTTTTTATGTCCCTGTGTATATTGGCTCTTTTTTTCTTTCATAAAACATATCTCCTTTTTTGGAAAGCCTTATACGTTTTTTCTCCATTTTGAAAAAATTAAAGGAAATTTGCAAGTGATTTTAAGTAATACTCATATGCTTGTGCTTTTTGAGAAATTTGCTGCTGACGTCGTGTCACTTCACCTGCAAATACTTTATCGTGTATCTCCTGAGAACAATCAGGTTCTTCTGTATAACCACAATGCAATGATCCCACTCATGAAGTGTAACTCCTTTAAAAAAATAGTTATTTTATTTTTTAAAAGGTAATTTCAACTCTTTACTAGCAAAAATATATATTTTTATATATATATAAAGATTGTTTGGGTAACTTATGTACAAATAAAAAAAGTGTTATATATGTATGGTATTAAAAAATAGTTAAACCAATACTTGTGTATTAAGAAGCGTTAAGAAGAGAACATTGCCCCTGCCTTGGACATTTTGTCATCCCACTTCACTTGTTGTTAGCTTCACGTCCTTAGTCTCCCCCATTCTGGTCTTTCCTGTGTAGCATTTCCAAGTTGTAATGAAACAA